CCCCAAAACCCCAAAACCCCAAAACCCCATGAACTAACTATGTTAGATTAAAAGGTTAACTTAAAATTAATTTCACAATTGTCTATATTCTATCCAGTTTTAGAACCCAGAGAGAAATTCAAGGGTTTATTGAATCAATTGAAATCCTCGTCATCTTGGTAGTTGACTTCCTAGTCTTCTTCCTCCTCGTATTATTCATCCTAATCCACTTCCTCATCTTCTTCCTCATGATGATAATCGTCTTCTTCTCCTTGTCTAACTTAGTCTTCATCTTCATCCTCTTCATTGTCCCCTTGATTTACATTGCTCGCTGTGTTACCTCCCCCTTGTATATTCATGTTCACATTTGCTTGATGCAAGTGATTGTAGTTGTTATTGCTGTTGGCGTTTGTATTAGTTTGAGTGTGTGTATTTGTATTATTGTCTCCATCAGCTTCATTATACACTTCAAAGTCCCAATTTTAATTCTAATTGTCCAAATACTGATTAGATATCAACATGGCTTGATACTACTGATTACCATGGAGTCCTTCTAATCTACTACTTGCTCTGATACTTGAGCCCCCATCTTCCTGCGAGTTCTCAATTACTTAGTCATGTGGATTAAAGTAAGAGTTGCCAGTTGGAATGGTTTGAGAACTCAACTGCTAATCGGAGGAGTTAGTATTAATTTAACTGATATAGGAGTAAAGTTGATCTTCAAGAGTCTTACGAGTCGCTTCATTCAAAGAGTAAGTCTTACAAAAGTTCTTAGCTACTTTCTTAATGTCATCTCCCTGTTTTAAAGTCAGGTGAGCTGTCCTAAAGAGTATTAAATTAGAAATTATCTTACTTTCCTGTAGCAATAGTTATCTCAACATCAACTATGGGGTTACTTTATCTTTGATAGCTGAATTCTTTTTATTGTGTTTGCAAATCAAATGGAACCATCTTAGTTGGTCCTCCGCTATACTTCTTTGGTTTGCCAAGGCTATAGATATTATTATTTCTATTGATTTTATCTTACTTTTCAATCATTTCCTTTTTTTAGTCTTTGAGTTCTTTCCCCTTCTTAAGTCTCTGTATAGTCTCCTCATATCCTTTGATATATTGCTAAGACTGGTCTTATGAAGAGAAATCTTTAGTAGGCTCATTACTTCGCTTTCTGATTAGTACAGACCTGCTAGCTTTATTAATATTAGGCTAAAAAGTGCATTCTTGAAGGTCTTCTAACTGCTCATCAAAGTTCTTTCTCTAAGGCATATTTAGTCTCTTAGCTTTGCTAAGTTCCCATAGTCTTTCATGAGCTGCTTTATCTTGATAATTAGAGATATTGTTTGAGTTCTAATAGTAGTACTGATTGTTGAACACTTGATTCTTTGAAGCTTAGGACTTGTTGATATCAGGTTTAAAGGTACACTATTCCAAATCTAGCTGTTCTTTCTATTACTACTTCTTTCTAATCTTTTCTTTTTAGATCTTTTACTTCTCCAGTAGTAGTTCTACTCTCTATTGAGGGTCTACTCTAATATTAGAGGGATTGTTCTAAAGATCCATAACTTGTCTTTCAAGTGGATTATCGTAGTCATACGCATTTCTTATTGAGTCATTCATTACTGAAGCCTGAGAGTTATTCTTAACCTCTTAGGAACTCACTATTCTACCAACGAAGTTAGATTTGTTGAGTTCATTAGTATTGCTCATAGTGCTATTCTAATGAATGATCTAGGTGGCTTTTTAGTGTTGATTATGAAAGAAGTTTACCCAATGCTACTTTTCTAACTACTCTGATTTTTTGTTGATAAGTGGTTTGAATGTACATTCCTTGTATGCCTCATAGAAGCCTTTTCTTTGCTTGACAGTAGGTACCTTGATCCCTCCTTTAGATCCATTTTTAAAAGCAGAGAAGTTGTCTGTAAGATACCTTATTGCCTTAAGAAGATCTTACTCACTCCATATTAGTTCATCTATATCATTCTTGAGCTTATTTGAATGTGGATCATGCTCACTTGAATAATCTTCGTTTTCCTCATTTATAGTTCCATTCGTTGCAGGCCCCTATCCATAGACTTTCTTAATAGCCTTTACATACTCTGAAACAAGCTTCTCTTATTTTGCTAGACCATTGGCTATACAATAGGGATCATAAATTAGCTTTAAAAACTCAAGAATTATCTCAGCATCTACTGTCTCATCTCCCTAGGGATTTATCTTAAGCCAGAACTGCATTAGAAATTCCTCTTCTCTAAGCTTTCTTTCTTCAACCTTTATCTGTGTTGCATTTAATGGTTTATCGATGGTGTAATTTGTCTTTCGCTGTTAATTCTGTATCTACAACTCATACTGTTCATTGAACAAATATTTGAAGACACCCAAGACATAAAATAACTGACCTACCTAAGTGGTATTCATCTATTTATTATCCTCGTAGTCTACATACCTAATAGCAGCCAGCAAATCTCTTTCCAGCTTTTTGTAAGCCAACTGATGCGATTTGAAATTTACCTTGGATTTTTAAGCTTCAAGAGCCACTTGATGCTTTGATGATTCAATTGTTGCTTTCTGCCTTCTCTATCTCTCCAGAAATTCTTAATATAGTCCATGCCCTGGTTAATACTTTGATGTAGTATTGTTTTAATTAGAAGTAAATCCTCCACTGAATCTGTTATTGGTAATAAAGTTAGATTTCTCAGTCATCAAGAACACTTCAGTCTAGTTATTAGTAATGTGTTAATAAGTTTTATCTCTTAAGGGTTCACTCTGCATTTTGTTTAGTTTAGTGTTTTACTCAAGTTGCTAGTCAAATGATTTATCTTACTACTTCCTTGCATTTGAATACAATCTGTTATATACTGTGTATGCTTCTGAGTCTGTTGGTCCAAATGTATTTCTAGGACTTCCATTTGATTACTAGACTTAAATGTTCATTGTATTGAAGTTGGTATTTTGATTCAAAAAATTTGATTAATTGAGTTAGTTCTCGATTTCCCTCTAAGCAGCTTCGTAATATTCCTACCTTTCTACTATTTTATTAATCATCTCTAGCATTCTATGCTTTTCCTTTTCAGGATCATCTTCTTCATCTTGATGCTCAATCTAACTTGCTTCATCCTAGAATAAATGATTATCCCCAGCAGCACCTTAGCTTTAGTTCTCTTCTGTATTTTATTAAAATATCAGCGAATCATCCTGCTTATTCAGCTTTCTCTTTAACTCTTGCACTCTTTTCTAGCGATCTTCTTAGTTTTTATTGACTTTGTCGTAAAATTGCTTAGAATTGGCATTTAAATGCTCTATTTCCTTCAAAAACTCCTTCTATGTCATGTTATTATGTTAAGAGTATTGCAGATTATGCCCTTTACCAGCAAAGTTACCTATAAATATTTGCTAAATAAGAATAAATTTCTAGAAATTTGAGTTAATCAATCGAATAATATTTAATGAGTTTAGCTCTCCTTACCTAAAACTACAGATCTGTTTGTATCAATTTAAAAATCCTAAATGTCTAAAGGAGAAGGAGTTGATCCTTGCAGTAAGTAGTCAGTGTTTTTGTAATTGGTATTTTGAGTACCATTGAACCCACTCTTACTTGCAGATGGCAGATCTTTACCCGCCCCTCCGTATTTTTAAACTAAATCCATCAATTTTTATGTATCCATTTGTCCTATCCCTGATCTGCTTGCCTGATATTCAAATCGTTTAGATTCATTAAGTTAGCCATGATCACCCATTGAAGTTTTTAAAGTTCCATTGAGATAATTATCTAAGTTCTTTTTAGTGGATGATTAGTTGACATAGTCACGCGATGGGGTCTTCTGACTGTACTGTGATTATTTAAGTTCACTTGCCATTTTTAACGATTTTAAAATATTTTAGTATTTTAATTTATGATTACTTTATTTCATCATTATATTATCTAGGGGTTTTGGGGTTTTGGGGTTTTGGGG